CCACATCACACTCGGGGGGTCTGAGCCACCCCCCTCAGCCCAGCTCGGCTCAGCTTGACCCCCACTCTGTCCCCCAGACCTGCAGCACAAGCTCTCCCGGCCGTGCGCTGGCCTGACCTCCCTCCGGGGGCGGGGGTGACCGGTGACCTCCATATGCAATCGATAGCGAGCAGCCGGGCCCCCGCCCCGCACACGCACTCCACGTGCCATTCTCCCGTGACATTTTTGTACTTAATGTATGAAAGATCCAAACTAATATTGCTGTACAAAGGAAAGACGAATTAATATAGCCTATTCTATAAATAGATCTGTATATACAGGGCTCTGTACATTGTATAGACTGTGTATAAACTGGATGTAGAAGCGCGCTGGCTGCCTGCGTGACCTCTCTGCCCAGCGGGTCGGGGGGGGGGCTCGTGGCTGAGGCCAGCGGCAGGGGGCGGGGAGGGGGGACATGCGGCCCTCACTGCTGCCCAAGCCCTGACCCAGGACCGCACTGAGCGGCCGAGAGACCAGAGGGCTTGGAGCCCTGTTTGAAGGGGGCCCTGCCCTGTGAGATGGTGCCGGCGGCCTGTCTGACCCCCTGGGAAGAGGGGTCTGGGGCTCAAAGAGGGGAAAGCAAGCTTCTCAGGGCCAGGCTGGTGCCACCCCCTCCCCCCAGGGCTGAGAGTTAGGGCAAAGGACGGGGACTCCACCCCCCCCCCATCCAGGTACGCAGGGGCCCCTGGAAGTCTTTCCTGATGGCTCCCCCGGGCGCGTGCAAAATCCCTGGCCAGGCCCGGGGAACCGGCCATCCTGGCTGCGGGACAGTAGGACTGCAGGACCCGGAGGGGAGGCACCTTGGCCTCCTGCCAGCCCCTTGTCCCGTCCTACCCGCTCCACACACCAGGTGGCGCTGTTCCTCTGGTCAGTCCCACCTCCAGGGGCAGTTGGGCCCAGGCACTGACCCAGCTAAGCTTTGACCCAACCTTGACCTTCTCCTTTTCCTTACACTGTGCACCCTCCTACCCTGACCCTTGAGTCCAGAGTGACCCTACTTGGTGGTGGGGGCGGGGTAGGGGGTGGGCAGAGGGATAGAACAGTGCCTGTGTCACTTAAGCCTCTGAGCACAAGAGGAAACGAAGACTAGAGAAGGGCAGAGACCTGCTCAAGTTCACTCAGGTGGTAAGGTCAGACCTGGACCCAGAACCCAGACCTCCCAGCCTGGGACGCTGGCCTCCACCCTCACCTAATGGTCTTCAGAGGTTCTTCCCACCCCGTGGTCTCATTTGGTTTGTAAAATGAGCCTATTCAATTAGTGGGGCAGAAGCAACTGGGGGCCAGAGAGGTTCTGTGACTTGCCCTCGGTCACACAGCAGAGTGTGGCATAGGGAGGGGTCTCAAGGGGGTCAATTCTGGGAGAGTCTGGGGGAGGCACGCTGCCTCCCAGTGCCCACTCAGGACACTCAAATGGTCTCACCTGGGAGGAAGGTGCGCGAGAGCTTAAGGGCCCCCAGACCCAGGTGTGCCCTCTCACCCTAGTCAAGGGAGGCCGTGCCCCTGGCCTCACTGGCTGTCTGTGTTCCAGCTCCCCGCCCTTTGGGCTTCCTCTGTCAAATGGGTGGAGGCCAGGGCTGTAGGGCCCATGGAGGCCAGGAGGCCTGTGGGAGGGAGGCCTGGCCAGTGCACTGAGCCCCACCCTCTCCTGGGCTGGCCTCCAACTGGTTACTCATTAACCCTTAAGTCCCCGCCTCCCTTTCCCAGGGCTGCCTTCTGTCGGCTGCCTCCTCCTGGCCCTGCTGCTGGGGGCAGGCCAGCACTGGGTGCTGCGGCCGGACCTGGAATCGTCGAAAGTACCATTTATCGATCGCTTCCCTGGTCCTTGGCCTGCACTGTGAGGCGGGAATAAGGGGCTGGTTTACAGATGAGGCTTCTAAGGACCGGAAGGCGGGCCTTGGAGGATGGCGGAGCCGGCCACCAGGGACAGCGCATCGGCTGGGCCTCGGCTGAGTTCTGGGTCCCTCACTCACTGTGGCCGGGTGGGGAGAGGGTGCAGGTGGGGACTCCTCTCCATGGACAGGCCCCTCATCCATGCAAGGATGCAAGGCTCCCTGGGGTGCCCTCACGAGCCCCAGCCACTGGCCTGCCCCCCTTCCCCGCCCCCCGCTCTGCCCCAGCTGGGTGAGTTGGGAGATGGTAGCTTTAACTCTTGACCGAGCCCTCAAATCTGGGTCATTCCAGCCACCCCTTTTCCCAAGCCCAGAGCTGAAAATCCCCGGACAGTTGCTCAGTGGCCTCATGGAGTCGGGAGAGATGGCGGGGCCTGAACCCCTAGCCAGGCCAGCAGCCACGGGATGAAGGGGAGGCTCCATCCTGCCCCATCCCAGCTCAGGGCTACCCGAGACAGTAACCCAGCCTCAGCAGGTGGGTGCTGGGAATAAAACACCCGCGTCTCCCCATACCCCGCCCTTGATGACCAAGACAGCGGCCAGGCTCAGCTCGGGGGACGGCCCTTCGACGGACATGCTGGACCATGTGGGTGGGGGCGGCTTATAAAGAGGCTGGTTTTCTGGTTGGTCCCGGCAACTCCTAAAACAAGTTCATTTTTTAAAATCGCAGGGCGTAGCTGGGTGTCTACTTCGCCCGCAGGCCAGCCTGCCGGGTGGGGGAGAGCCTGGGGGAGAGGCAGAGCGGAGTGGAGAGTAGCCATTGTCCTCAGGGAGGCTGCGGAGGGAGAGAGACCTCTGGGGTGTATCGGCCGGCAAAGAATAGGCGCCTCAGTGTGCCCCCCCGCAGCCTGCCCTGCGGGGGGAGCGCACACAGCTGGGGCCGCCAGCAAACCCGGTTCTATATATGTAAGCGCAACAGCCTGCGCCCCTGGGACAAAACCTCATTGTGAGGCACCCGCCGCCTGGGCGCCCCTCCCCCAGCCCCAGAACTGTCATAGCATTGACCCTCCTCGGTGGCCACCACGGGCCTGCTGACTGGGCCACATCTGGGGCTCAGGCACCGGCCGCCCCTCCCCCCTGGCTGGTCACTGAGG